AGAGAGAGAGAGAGAGAGAGAGAGAGAGAGATAGAGAGAGAGAGGTCCCCATCACTCATTGGAGGTTGAACAAATTGATTTCTCTAAATCAGTGGTTCTCGCCCAGGGTCAAATATGGGGCCTCTAGATGCATATTTAAAACCAAATAACCCAAAACTACCTTTTTAGACATCTCAGAAAACCTGGATATATTATGTAGTTTAGTCTAATTTTAAAAGTGTCATTTCTAACACTGTAAAACCTGCAAACTAAAATCCACATGCATTATTTAATGAGCAGAAATTATGAAGTGTAAAAAAAAAAAAATCTTTATCCAGTAAATGAAAAACAGGGAAAGTCACATAAAATTGTTGTGGATAACTGGTTACCTTGGAGTCAAGAAGGTTGAGGACCACTGCTCTAAATTTCCATAACACAAACCTGGTCCAAAAAAGCTCATGTCTACTTTGACATGATGTCAGAGAAATATCAATTTATTTGTTGCATCTAAGAGTCACATTTTATACACTCATGTTTATACATTTCATACATTTTAGGGAAAAAAAGGCCCCTTCTTTCACTAGAGAGGTGTGACATTTTGTTCAGCCTTGTATTGCACTCCAGGTAATGTAGTCATGGGGGGGAAATGACGCTCATGATTCAAGCAGCCTGGTAGCAGTAGAAAAGAACATGCGTAGACCGCATTTCCAAAACATTATAAAGTCCAAAACAAGGTAAGACCTCGGCACAGTTCAGACTACACATTCTCACAGGACTCTGGGGGCAACAGAATACACACCTCTATCGATGCAATTCATATAAACAAGCATTAATGAATGTAGATCACACAAACAACTCATCTTTTACTTTAAATAAAAAATGTCACTTTTCAAATGGACTAAACTAAAAATCAGTTCATGCAAGTCTATGGAGTACATACTTCTCTATTAAATAAGGAATAAGTCTGAAGGCTGTAAGTCCAAACAGTGCAGAGGTATAATGGGAAAAACCATTATGCCCTTTTTTAATCCTATGTGCAGCATAACAGTCTTAAAGAATATATTTGGCTTCTTACAATCTCACTATTTCAAAATATTCTTTTATCCAGAAAGGCAAGTAAGTATTGCATTGCACTTTGGTTCCCTAGTGTAACGCCTAACTGGACTGCCCAGCTGTGTTTATAACAACAGGAAGATCTCTTGTTCCATAACCTGATGGCTTGCAATATTATAAGTTTACTTTAAGTCTTGAAATAGGACAGAAGAGATCTTGACATCAAAAGCCACAGGAAGAGTTTAGCATGCATGCCACTGATCTCAATTACACACACACACACACACACACACACACACACACACACACGGAGATGGTTAAACGTGTGTATATAAACATATATACAGTGCTTCTGTGTCAGGTCCCGTCCTACTTTGTGTCAAGAACAACTGTCTGGAAAGCCAAAAGACAGGTGAAGTGCGGTCCTCCCTCAGGTGGTGTAGCGGTCTGTGTGGGGTCACTCGCAGCAGACCAGGCGGATGGGGTGGCTGGAGAGGGGAAGATTGGAGCATTCGGCTACAGCCTGTCTGGCTGCTTTCTCACTGGGGAAGGTCACCAGCGCCTCCCCACTACGCTGACCACTCCAGTTATACAGCATGAGCACAGAGTCCGCCTGGAGCTACACCAAAAAGAAAAAAGGAGAAAGCAAGCTTTTTTTTTTTCTTTTTTTTACAGATTTGTTTATATATTCCAGTGGAAACAAATTCAATTAAATTAAAAATAAAATAAAATACATAACATTTAAATAAAATTTAAAAATATAAATTAAATTACATTGCTGGCATGTATTAGGAAAAAGAAAGAAAAAAAGTAAGCAATGTTTTTTTTATATATTCCCGTGTAAAGTAAAATAAAGTAAAATAAAATTCACCACTGGCATGTAAAATATAATATCATAAATATGATATAAAATAATAAAAAAAATAAAATAAAAAAATAAAAAATCAACACTGGCATGTAAAATAAAATACAATAAAATAAAATAAATAAATAAATACAATAAGATCAAATGAAATAAAATAAAATTCACCACTGGCATGTAAAATAAAATACAAAAAAAAAAATAATAATTATTCACCACTGGCATGTAAAATAAAATACAACAAAACAAAAAATAAAATTCACCACTGGCATGCAAAATAAAATTAAAATAAAATTAAATCCACTGGCACATAACATAACATTCACCACTGGCATGTATTAGAATAAGGCATGCATACACACTGAAGTGAATTGCTATGGAGAGAAACAGGATTTGAGTTTGGATTAATCATCAAATCAGCTGAAAATTAATGAGTATATAATTAGAAACCCTTATAGGCAGGAGACTTGCAGTAAGTTAAGAACAATAATGCTACCAGAACAAGACTTTCAAAGCCCAAACCAATTAGTCAGACTGGAGAGAAAGAACATTATTACAACTGAAAGCTTCTTAAAACAGCAGCACTTGGAACAATAAAGCATACTGGGACTAATTATGCAACAAGCAGAGAGTGAAGATTTACAGAGATACAAAAACAGAAGAGAGTATTACGGGACTCCACTTCTGATTGGAGGTCACCCCAGAGCAGTGGAAGTTAGAGTATTAGTCCATGCACAAGCGATCAGGTCACAGGGGCATCATGGGAGCTTACCTGGAGAGGCTGCCCCTACAGACAAAGCCACTCTTTAGGCTGAATGAGACTCCGGCCCTGATCACTCACTCCGAGCAAGCTGCTGTAGTCTTCAGGAGCGTACTACAGCACAATGAGCCACAGTCAGTGCCATAGGCCTCACGTTACACTCACAACAATCAGCACTTCTCTAAACCATGTCCATACATGTACAGGTGACGCTACAGCAGTATGCATTTCTACTAGGGGTGTAAAAATAAGTGCTTTTTTTTTTAATAAAGTGGATGTAAAATATTTATCTTATTTATTTGAAATAGAAATCTTTAGAACAATTTAAGCAATCAGTCTTACTAACATTCAAAAGTTTGGGATATCATGGTTTCCACAAAAATATTAAGCAGCAAAAACTTGAATCATAAAATCAAAGAATCATAATGTAATTAAATCATTGTCAGATCACATATTCACACCCCTATGTCTACTGAATGTCTGAAAATGTAAAAAGTAAGCAAATGAAGGAAAGAGTATTGAGCACACTGAAATATTAAGACAATTTCATCAAGTCTTGCAGTTCATTTAAAAGTCTCGTCAAACAGATCTGAAGCGCAGTGCCTTATCAGAACCTGAGAGGTGACACCAGTCCAAACATTCATTTAAAACAACACACCACCCCAATACACTGCACAACAGAAATAAGTATGCATCGTACAGGGTTGCACATAAGATGTTCAAGCATGAATGCACTATAGATATAGAAAGAAAGAGGGGGTCCAGACCACCTGCCAAAAAATAAATACTTCCCGCACACAGAGGCCCGTAGTGTGCATTTTGTATCAGAGGTTAAAAGCACACTTGGAGGGTGGACTGGGCTTGGATCCATTTCATCGGTTCAGCCAGGAGTCAAGCCTGAACTCTGCATTTCACACACGCGCCACTGTGCTACGCTTTGTGAACAGTGTTAGACGTACAGCTCAGAGTGTCACACGCATTAGAGGAGAGGGCAGGGATGCTGCAAGCCCACCACACAACAGAGAACAAACTAGAATATCTAAGAAATCTCATCCCATGGCTGTGTATTTATTAGGGCTGCACGATATATCGAAATTATCGAAATATCGCACACTTGACGTTAAAAAGAGTTAAGTGCAATAAGTTGCAGAAAACAACTCTTTGCCGTCTCGTCTTGCTGTCTGACTCACACCTGAAGCACGCACACAAACAGAGACACTTTTCAGACAGCGCACGAACACCGAGTTGATTCGTCTTTCGCATCTCCTCCTCCTTATGACGCAGTCAGTTATGTTTTAAATTAATGTAAACAGCTGAGAAATAAATCGGATGTGTATCATTTTTATACTGGATCCGTGCAGTCGGATTTAAAGGGACAGCAGCCTATAAATACGTGCTGCTGAATATGTCACTAATGTTAATCAAACAACAAAACAGCTATAACAAAGGTAAATCTAAATTTAATTCATACAGTGAACACAATGCAGTGTTATTTTACACTTAATTATTACATTTCTGTACCTGAATACTACTGTTTATTTTATCTATGCTTGTAAATTGTGTATTTGTTCTTTTTTCCCCCTTTTTCTTTCTTTTTTTTACTGACTGTTCACTTGCCGTTAATCATGTTTGAACTTTCTCAGACTATAGTTTTTGCTGTGGTATATGAAGAAGTACTTAAAGTGTATGGAAAGCAAAGTCACAATGATATAAAATTAGTGTCATTCATTTTTTTGTCATTCACACTGATGTTAAAATGACATTTTCTGATTTGTGACATTACTTTTTATGTAATGCTAAAACACTGCTGGTCACTTTCAGAAGTTGTAGTGATTCTTTCTTTTCCAAGAAAGAATGTGAAACAAATTGGTTATATAATTTTCATTTTTAAATATTTTAAAATATAATTTAAATAGATTTTTCTCACTTTAAGCAATATCGTATCGCATATCGAATATCGCATTTTTTAACAAGGTATCGCGTATCGCATTTTCTTTTCAATATCGCACAGCCCTAGTATTTATATACTGTGAGAGAGAACGCACACACACACACACACACCCGTGCCCAAAACAAAGCATCACTCATTTCCATCTAACTCAACCCTCTTTCCTCCTCTGAGTGCTGGTGTCATACCATCCTCTGACGTCTCCGCCTAATCAGCTGTCAGCTAATGAGAGGACAAAACGTACACAGTGATTCAGCATAAAACACTACATAGAAACTTTTTAAGATGTGTGCTGTTTATCCAATAGAACCAGGGTCCTGATAAAGTCTCAGGTGAGGGGTGCACTGCTTAGGAAACCCTACTTTTTTTCACTTGTTTTTTAACTTGAGAACCTGAGTGAGTGAGTGAGTGAGTAGTGAAATGAGGGGATACCTGATATCCCTGAAAGAAGCTGAGGATGTCTTTGACCCCAGCGTTGTACGGCAGACCCTGCATTCGCACCAGTGCCCCGGGCTGAGGGGGGAGGATTGCAGGGGCCTGCTGGGCGGCCACAGCTGCTGCTACTGAACCCGGCGGGGCCGCAAAATAACTCATCGTGGAGGGAGAGACCGGTGGACTAGTCAACAGAGAGAGACGAGATGAGTTTGAGAGGGGGAAAAAGAAAAGTTTTCCAAAATAGATGTATTAACAAATTATAGTATAACATACATTATACATTCTGAATGGAGGAGCTACATTTGAAGCAAGCTGACTGACCACGTTTCAATTAGATTTATGAAGTAAACAACCATTCAAAAGTTTGGGATTTGTAAATCTAAAATTGTTTTTGAAAGAACTCTCATGGTCACCAAAGACTGAATTCGTGGCCGGAGCATTGAATTGCTAAAAAAATACAGTAAAAACAGTAATATTGTAAAATATATTACAGTTTAAAATAAATATTTACTATTTTAATATATTTTAAAAATAATTTTATTAATGTGATGGCAAAGCTGAATTTTCAGCAGCCATTACTCAAGTCTTCAGTGTCACATGATCCTTCAGAAATCATTCTAATATGCTGATTTGGTGCTCAAGAAACATTTATCATCAAATGACCAATATTTTTGTGGAAATTGTGATATTTTCCACAGGATTATTTGATGAACAAAGTTCAAAATAACAGTATTTATTTGAAATAGATTGAAATTCTGACACCTTCAACGGTAGTGTATATTACTTGCTGAAATCATAGTTATTGTTATTGTGATTATTATTACTACTACTACTGCTAATACACATATACTGAACATTGGTGTTTATCTTTTTTTTTAAATGGTAATGATAAATATGCTAATGTTTAATTAATAAATTGCACAGCAAATTTTACCTCCACCATGTGCCACAGACAACAAAACCATTTAACCAGGTGGAATGTAAAAATAAAATTTAGACCAAGGTAAATCTCTTCTCATTGTACCTAGGGTAGTAGGTGGTGTAGCTCATGTTCATGTTCATGTAAAGCTGTGGAGAGTAGTAGGCTAAAGCAGGTGCAGGGTTATGTGCTGGGGCCTGTGGAGTTCTTGGAGTGGCCAGCAGGGGGGGCTGATACAACGCTGCCTCAGTGGGAAGCATAGCTGGAGTTGCAGGAAATGCAGCATATGTTGGTGGAGAGAGACCTGAGAAAGACATGACAAAGTGCTTTATTAAAAGGACATTTTCACCAAGTGGGCATGCTAAATCTTTCTCACCCACACACACACACAGCTGACCTTGCAGGAGTGTGTGAATGTCATGTATACTTAGCTTAACTGGCACAGGGACAGCTATCGTCTTCTCTGATGTAGTGCGAGCACATACGGCCCATTCTCAAGCCAAGGTCAAACAACCAGATCAAATCACAGAGTAAACAGGCCTTCCTTTAGTGCCGCTACAGGCTTGCTCTTTCTTAAATGCCAAAATGTTGCACCTTTAGATCTGTGACAGAGGTGATCACACCGCTTTCTTGTAGATAAGCTGAAATCTAATCTCAAACGGACCAGCTGATAGGAGCAGAAGAGTGCGGACTGGAACATTACACACAGATCAGCATCTCTTGAACAGGAACAGATTACAGCTGCTGGCTCACGCTAAATACTAACTCAAATTAACAGTGCAGTTCATCTTATCATGTGGTTTCCAACAAGCATTTGGCATTTAAAAAGCTCCATAAAGTACCAGACAGTCTCTTACAGGGCAGTTTGCAAGGAGGTGGCGAGAGGCCGCTGCGGTTAAGCGTTCCCCCCATCAGCACAAAGCTCATCTCCTCAGTGGAGCACTGGAACACCTCCACGTAACGGTCCTTCATCATCTTCTTGTGGCACTTCTGAGCCACCATAAAAGCACGGTCAGCTGACTTCATCTGAATGAAGGCATCACCAGAGGGTCGACCCTATAAAGATGAACCGAGAAAAGGTGGGTCAAAGTGTCATTCCAGAAACACCTGATGTTTCTCGTTTCATGGAGTTACAAGTCACCTGTTGGTTAAGGACCATGTGCACCCCATGTGGTTTGATATCAATGGTGTGTTCTCCCATAAACTCCAGGATGTCCTCGATGGCGGCGGTGTATGGCAGACCTCTCAGCCTGATGCAGTCTCGCATGCTGCCGGTGGTGATGAAGGGTGGCGTGGCTAACACAGGCACAGATACCATCGGAGGCGGAGGAGGAGGAAGTGTGGAGATCAATGGAGTGGACATATAGCGATTCAAAACCTAGTTTGAAGATACAAAAGATCAAGAAAATGGCAATAAAATACAAGATGCTGGTTTCATACAAAAGTACACCGAGCTTTTTTGCTCTGATTAACCCACAGAGACCCAAAATAGCAGAACTGCAACGTTTGTGAAAAGCAATTAAATAAAATTAATTTTCACTAAGCGTGGACAAAAACTACACATAACACATAACATATGACATATGTATCATACGGGTTGTGTTGCTCATTTTTACTAAACAAGCAAGTTTTGGCATCTAATTTTTCTTTTATTTCCAGTGTCTAATGATGGGAAAAAGCTTACATGCCATTTTTCTAATCAAAAATGCAACACAAAATGCAATGACATTAGGGGTCAAAAAAATCTCGGTAATACTTTATTTTCAAGACCAATTCTCACTATTAACTAGTTGCTTATTAGCATGCATATTACTAGCATATTGGCTGTTTATTAGTACTTGTTAGTCACATATTAATGCCTTATTCTGCATGACCATATTTTAGATCCCTTAATCCAATAACCCATACCTAAATTTAACAACTACCTTACTAACTATTAATAAGCAGTAAATTAGGAGTTTGAGGAAAAACTTAGGTAATCGTGAATGTGTTCCCTAATCTAAATTGTTACCAAAATGATGAGTTATGCATCTCACACAATGGACCCTGAATTTCAAGGAATGGTACAAAAAATATATATATATTTTTTTTTTTTCAACTGCGCTTTTGTCATTGTCTCATTGATATAACAATACAAATACAACAATACAATACATCAAGGGCTATTCAAATGAATACATCATAGTACTACTATACGCTTTGATATGAATATTTATTACAGTTTTTAACGTAACAAGTAACATAACATTTCATGACTGAATCCTTAATGGCTGAAATATATTTTTGCAATTTTGCCATATTCCCTGATGAAAAACAAAATAGATTTTATAACAGCTTCCTAAAGAAAAGCAAAAGGGTGAAAAAAAACCCACATCATAAATACCAGTGCTTGGGTCTCTGAGGGTTAAATATAAATCATCTGTACCTGTTGGACCTCAGCTGCAGTACTGCGGAACAGCTCAATATATCTCTTGCCCAGGATCTGTTTGTGCTTCTTCAGGGCATTCTGGGCATATTCCTCACAGGCAAAGAGAACAAACGCATCGCCTGTGGGACGTCCGTCTGGGTACTTCACAAACAGAAGCCCCTCCGTCCCATCAGTCACTGGGCTGTCCGGGCCCAGGAAGCCCAGAACATCCTGAGGGGTAGCAGTGAACGGAAGCCCACGCATTCGGATTATCACTTGGTTCTCCTTAGAAAGAAACTGAGCTACCTCATTGGATGTGCCTGTCAAAAGATGAGGAATTTTAACGGTTTTAGTGGTAACAATGTCAGAAAGACTCTGCTGTGAAACAGTTCAGCAGAAACATCCACACGCACTGAAATGATATCTCGGCAGGCTGCTGTTCTTTTACACCTGCTGTGTGTGAGGCTTTTCAGAGGCTGCTGACCCATCTTCCTCCCTGAGGGAACGGCTCTCTTTCTCTGTGGCCTGGCCAGAGTGGGGGGCAGGAGGGAAGGGGAATAGAGTTTCCCCCTCTACCTGCTCTGCATGAGTCAGCAAGGGGAAGAGACTCACAAAGAGTCTTTCATTCCCACAGGGGGGGATGAGGGAAGGACACACACACACCTGGCAATAGCGGATGGAGATTTACTCTACAAATGGAAAGTGTCTGCTCATATTACAAATGAAGACTTCATGTAAATGTCTCACCTCCTGCAATCTTTAGAAATTCCTCCCCAGTCGCTTTATACACCTGAAACAAAATAAATACAGAGTGCCATAAGAGTGGGCCGCATGCCTTTGATCGAAACTGTATTTATTATTCACATTGTGTAAATTAGGGATGGGTCAAGATGGTTGATTTGTTAATTACTGAAGTAGATTTTTTTTTTTTCCAGATTTTAGTTTTAACATTTTAAACGACAATACTTTAATGAAAATAAAGTCAGAGATGCAGCTTCTTTAGTAAGCTGTGCTTTAGCATGCTGTTAGACTGTCAAAGTAAACTCTCCGAAAAGTGGTGTCTCTAAATCCATCATCAGACAACTCAAATACTAGTAAGTTATATGTAGTTTCTCACAAGCCTAGTATACATTTAATATTTCCAACATATAAGAATCAGAACTGTCTCAGATTAAAAGCGAGTATTCTTGCATAATGCATTTTTGAGATGAACAGAGTAAAATAAAGCATGGCTTGGATGCCTTAAAGGGGTCATATGATGTTGCTAAAAATAACATTA